GTCCGTCGACTAGGCGAGTAGCTTGCACACCTCGTGGGGATGAACTAACTCTCCCTGTTCACTCACAACACAAGGCTGGCTCTGCTTGCTGTCGCTGCCTCAGTTCTTAATGTTCTCTCTCGCGGCTGCGTCTACCTTGACCTTTTATAACGTCCCCCACCTGGAATCATTGTCATGGCAACTGAACATAGTTGGAATCTGCTTACACAATACACTGGTGCTATCATTCTTGGTAGTCACTTAACCGGTGTTTGTAATCAATAGCCGGCACACGTATGGCACGCGTCTCTTTATGAACGGAGTTTTGGGGTGTGTAAGTGTTTCAAAGTCTACTAGCTCGGCTGTGAAATAATCCTACCTCTGGCTGTATTAAAATATACCTTTTGGCCAAACCCTAAATTTAACCCGACATGTATACCATCACGAACCTTGTGACAGTAATATATAATCATGAATTTCATATGTTCAAATTCCAGTTTGATAACAGCTGCGATTAACAACACAATCCCATGTTTTTAACATGCAAATTGAGAGTGAATTGTAGATTTACTAATTTTTACAATCATGCATCAGTTAAGCATTTAGGGGTAATGTTTGGACTTCAAAATAATGAGAATTATCAGTGGTACAGAAACACAATTCGGAATGTAAGACATAATTTACCAATGTGTGGGTAACTGTGGAAAATGATATTTAGGCATTTCATGATACTTGCATGACACAATTCTCGTACTTTTACAAAGTCATTTTCTATTTATCAGTAAGAAAGAAGATATATCATCGAAACCAAGAAAAATATTTTTGGACTGTGGGGGAAATGTTGCATCATCTGTCCAATTATTCAAGGAGACTTACCCAGATGCAAATGAATATGAAATACATTCCTTCGAGCTTGACCCAAAACTTCGTCCATATTTCAAACCTTATGAATTGCAAGGGTCAGTTACTGCCCATGTACCATGTGGGGTTTCAGACAAAGACGGTGAGTATAATGTCAATATACAGTACCTGGACGTTTTATCAACCGTTGAAAAACATATTTGTAACACACGTAATATAATCAACTATGAATGCAAGCAATTTACAAGACGCCCGTCTACCAACATACATTTTGGGGTCAAAAATTTTAAAGGGATCCGTATACAGAATCGCACTTGAGTTATTTATGTACAGAGAAACAATTATGTTATTGGATTGATCCGCTACCTGTATTACGGTGTTCCTATCTTTTTACAAAAAATAAAATCGACATTTATTCAACAACATTAATAACAGTTATTCAACAACAGAGAGCACTAATACATGTTAATACATATGGCTTTCTGTAGAATCCAGCGTTTAATATAATTTTAAAATGGCGGCCCGGTATACATTTTTCTGTTTGTTTTTCTATGCCTGTATTTTGAGCGCTGCTGAAGTTCATTTTTATCGATTAACTCTGTTGCTGTGCTCATGAATGTTGTCTGCTGCTTGGGAAGTCGTTTCTTAGATAATTATTGCGTGTAAGGATTGTTTGTCCAACAATTTTGATACTGACTGTCTGTATGTACGTTAGCATTGAATATGGCAGCCATCTGTGTTAATGACATTGTTATTTGTGAACTGGCATGTTTTGTTGTGAATAAGTTGAGCCCGGGAATGACTCGAGCCGCGATGAAAAAAGTTATTAAATACTTTTACACTAAGTTGGAAATCGACCAAACTAAATCTGTGGTTTTTGAACTGTCGGGTGATCGTGTGCCATCTTGCCGTAAAGTAACACTCCCCATCCGTGATGTTATGTTATTGATTGCATAGCTGACATGGTTGCCACTTCAACTTCATCGTCTCCTGTAATGTTCTATATAGTGAGTCTTTATTCACTTATTCAAGGCCATAGACCCAAAAAAGTTGTATAGGTTGCTTATTTGAAAACAAAATAATAATATATATGTACATACATTTACAATCATCATATTAATATTACAACAATTCGTAATTTCGCTACTTAACTTTAAGGCTTGAAATACAAAAGCTGCAAGCCGCATCAACATATTCACACGAGAGAACCATTACAAATGTCCATCCTACCAGACAATCCCTTGACGAAGTTAGCATAGATTTTGTATACGCAGAAGGCGAAACGCTACTTCTGCTCATTGACGACTATTCACGATATCCATTTGTAGAACCAATATCGCCAACTGCTGCACGTTGTGTCATACCAAAGCTCAACTACGTATTCGGGATGTTTGACATTCCCAGAATTCTCAAATCTGATAATGGGCCACCATTCAACAGTGAGGAATGTGAGAAATTTGCAAAGTAACCCCACTTTGGCCTAGAGCCAATGGAGAAGTAGAACAATTTGTCAAAACGTTGAAGAAGTCGATCAAAGAATCAAAAACAGAAGGAAAGAATTGGAGAAAGGAAATGCAAATATTTCCACAAAACTACTGCACAACCCCTCATGCTACAACCAGCATATCACCTGCAACTTTGTTTCTGAGACGCATCATATACAACAAGCTTCCTCAAATAAATGATATCGATCCAGTATCGGAAATCGTACGTAAATTTGATTCACTGCAGAAGCACAAAATCAAGATTCGTGCTGACAACAAATCAAATGTGAAACCATAATATAAAGACAGACGATAGGGTATGGTAAAACGACCATACAACAAAACCAAAGGTTCCACAGTGTATGAGCCTACCCCAATGACAGTAGTGCGACAGAAAGGCTCTATGATTACTGATGATAATGATGAACACACGGTCACAAGAAACTCATCATTGTATAAAAAGTTAAATAGATCATTACTTCAAAACAACTCCGACTTTGATAGTCATGATCCCTCATCACTGATTATGACACCAATCCGATCCGGTATATCCTCAACAAGTCTAGCTCCATATATTCACCACCATTGCAAATAAATATGCCAAAGACAAGTAATCTTAACAACGGTGAAAACGTAAAAGTTAAAAGTTCAAGTCAAGAACACAAATTGACTAACAGCGATAGTTCTACAAAACTCGTTCCTATACTGACATTCGCTTAGTCGATTCAGAACATTTAAAGTATATCTCAGACTTTTGAACTCATGAAATTCATCATGATTCTTGTTATTATTCGTTACTCGATAAGATCTATACAATGTTCGATTTATTCGTTTACAAAATGATAGTTCGTATACAACAAATGTTATCAGATCAAAATTGAGATTTTTAGTATCCGCAAGGAAGGGGATGTAATGTCCTATATCATTATTTATGCATGACCTACGACATCACTCGATATGTTACTATAGTGATGACTGTGTAGCATTATGGGATACTTGAACGACATGGCCGACATCAGTCAATAAATATACGTCTATCCAAGCAGAGTTGATTTATCAATACAGACGTTACATCTCCCTCCAATTGATATTGACTATGTCGATTATATCAGCTTATTGAAGTTGGTCAGAGATATGCTGGAGAAATTGGATACCGTAAGCTCCAAACTTGAGGCGAACGAAGTTGTCATGAAAATCATATACGTACCACTGCTAACAAACCAGTTGTAGCTGAGAACATTGATTCAGTCACTCATTTGCGCTTTGCCAACACAGGCTAACATTAATGAAATACAAGATATGTCTCGGGTCAAGGATAACTCTACCTGGTCATTTGTAGTTAGTAAACAAAACAAAAAAAGCTGATGTTGTCAATCGTCGGAAACCAAAACCAATTATTTATGGCTCTGGGAACACGTCATGTCATTTTTCTGTGGCCGTAAAACAGCCGAGAGTAAGCAGTATTTTCACTAGATACGTCGGTTGAGCAACTTGAGAAATATGTATTGTGCTCCAAATGTGTTTCTAGGTGATATTAAGCCTAAAACGTACTCATCTGTTAGAGTAGATGAACGTGATGAAGTCTGAGGTGATCGCTAATAGAGACATAGGTTGTGTGTCCACTACTGATTAACCTTTATGAATATGATTAACATTGGTAGTTATAATGTGAGAGAATTTAAATCGTCTACTGTTGCAATTTGCTTAAGAATGTAGTAGAGGTTGGGTTTTTTCTTTAAAAATATCAAATTTACTTTTTTTCCATATTCTCTTATACGAATATATGAAGCATGCATTTAACTAGAAAAAACAATTGTAGGGATGGTTTAGGAGAGTAATACATTTTGAATAAATCTGAGATAGACAGTGCCGGTCCCAAGCTTGGAAAAAGAAGAATGGTTGGGCGCAGGGTTAGTAGCCCCACCCTGTAAAAAAAGCACTAGCTACAGAAGCTACGTCAACAAGAATACCAATCAATTCGGACCTGGGAGAGGAAGGTTCTCCAGCTGGAGAGCTTGTGGCGCCGGATTGGGAAAGTCGGCTTCCGGAGCCCACTCGGCCGATAACCATCGTATCTTCTAGGACCACAACTAGTATAGGTGCTTGGAATGTAATAACTATGTTTGAAGCAGGAAAAACTAAACAAATTTCAGTAGAGATAAAGCAATATAAACTGATTATATTAGGCATTAATAAGACACACTGGACGGTAGTTGGACAAACCAAACTGCCTATGGGGGAATTACTTCTATATTCCGGACATTCTGAAGCTCTTATTGGCTGGGAGGGTCATGGTCCACGGATCATCACTGCCACATTCAGGACAACAAATCGTAGGATATTGTACAATGTTATGCTCCAACAAACAATGACGAGGATGAAGCAAAGGAGAAATTCTATCAGAAGCTTCAGGCAATTATCCAGAAACTACCACCAAGAAATATCATCATGGTTATGGGTGACTTCAATGCCAAGATCGGCAGTGACAACAAAGGGCTTGAAACAGTGATGGGAAGAGAATGTGTTGGAGAGAGAAATGAAAATGAAGAAAGATTTTTGGATGTTTGCGCTTCAGGACAGTTAGTGATAGGCGGGAGTGTTTTCTAACATAAAAGGATCCACAAGTACTTAATGATCTAATGATAGAGGATGAGTCAGTGGAAGGAAGGTGGGAATGAATAAAGGATTCCGTTACTGAAACATGTAAAGAAGTACTTGGCCCAGTGAGACGCAAACACAAGGAGTGGATGTCTCAACAAACCTTGAAGAAGGTTGAAGAACGAAGGGAGAAGAAGGCAGCCATCAACAACAGTCGAACAAGGTCTCAGAAGTCAAAAGCTCAACAGGAATACACAAAGATAAACAAATCTGTCAAACAGGGGATAAAGAAAGACAAACAAGACTATATGGAGACAGTTGCAGATGAAGCAGAGGAAGCATCTCACAAAGGGAATATGAGAGAATTGTATTCAATCATAAGGAGTCTATCGGGCAAGTTCAGCAAACTGGAAAGACCAGTGAAAGATAAGGAGGGAAATGCTATCACGGATGATGAAGATCAGAAGAGAAGCATTTTGAAGAGCTGCTGAACAGGCCAGGCCCGCATAACACACCAGATATTCCACCAGCCGATAACATCCTACCTATTGACTGCAGTCTACCAACAAAAGAAAAATACGTAGATCCATCACACAGCTGAAGACGGGTAAATCTGCCTGACCAGATGGTATTCCAGCTGAGGTTCTAAAGGCAAATGTTGCAGTAAATGTGGAATCCTCTACCCACTTATCCAGAGCATTTGGAAGGAAGAAAACACGTCGATAGAGTGGAAGGAGGGCTATCTTGTAAAGCTACCAAAGAAGGGTGACCTTAGTCAATGTGAAAACTACAGGGGGGTCACACTGTTCTCAATACCGGATAATGTTTTTAACCGCATTCTCCTCAATAGAATGAAGGACGCGGTGGATGCACTCTTACGTGACGAACAGGCTGGTTTTAGGACAGGAAGGGGCTGCATAGACCATATAACAACTTATAGAACAATCACTCAACTGGAACTCCTCGTTGTACATCAATTTTGTAGATTACATGAAGGCCTTTGATAGCACTCTTTGGAATCTCACGAGGCACTATGGCATACCAGATACAATCACAAATATCATCAAGAACTCATACCAGGGTATGACCTGCCGTGTTGTCCATGGAGGACAGCTGACTGATGTCTTCCAGATTAGGACTGGTGTCAGACAAGGCTGTTTGCTGTCACCTTTCCTGTTTCTTCTTATCATTGACTGGATAATGAGAACATCAACCAAGGGCAGGAGAAATGGTATCCAGTGGTCTCTCTGGGGACAACTGGATGACCTGGATTTTGCGGATGACCTTGCTCTGCTCTCCCATACACAACAACAGATGCAAGACAAGACAGATACAGTCAGCTACAACTCTACCAGAATTGGCCTTAACATACACCCAA